ATGGAACCAGTTACAAGAAATTGAATATAGAGTATATTTTTTATATCATAACTCATAGATAATATGTTAATTGTTGTTTATCCTATACTTAATTAATATGACATTTTTATTAAAATCTTCAACGATATTGAAGATAGGAAGCAAGGTTAACATCTTGACAACAGACACCTTAATATGGTATGAAATATTCATAATAATTGAAAACCAATTCAATTTTCACAGAATAAATGCGTTCCGTATAAAAGATTTTACACAATGAAACATTATGTACCTATAAAAAAAACAGAGAATGGTTCCTTACCTAAAAAATCAGCAAACTAATATAATAAACCATACGATAATTCGTATAATACGATTAAAATATTCTGCGTTACAGGGTTTCACATTTACAAATTTCGCATGAAATTCTCCGTTCGAATAATATTCCAACTTGCATCAATTCGCTCCTCTACTCATGTCAGCTTCTTGCAGAAAATCTCACTTCTACATTCTTTAACGATTTTTTAATGGCGTTATAACGAACCCTACTATCAATAAAACAAAATTGTCAATACAAAATCGTGCGAAAACAGAATAAGATACACACACGATCCCCCAAAGGAGCAACATCATTCAAACACCAGCACCTCGAAAACTATCTTCCATCCTTACCCAGAAAAAGCTCGTAAATCGAAGGCAATTCCAGCCCGCTAACATAATACATTCGTCAGAAAAGGGGAAGGTGAAATCGAGCGATCTCTATTATTTACCGGAGTGAAAACCGAGACGATGCCTAGGCCCGGTCGCGATTGTAAATCGTGGCCTATTATACGCGCGAACGCGCGTGCATCGGTCATCGGCGCCGCGCAGCCGCGCCGTATAAATTCCGCGCCGGACTTCTTTCGCTTTGGGGCCGGCCGCGGCAGGCTGGATGATCCCGATGATATCCCCGGGATTTTCCTTCTCCGCCGCGATTCTCACGGTCCGCGAAATAAATAGCGCCGCCGGCGGGAACAATGGAGACCGGGCCCTAATGAAAACCGTCACGTAACCACCACCCCCGTGACGCGTTCCGCGGCGCGGCGGAACGATAATAGCCAGGCTGCTCTGGGCCTAGTAGCGCGATTAACAAAAGCGATCTATGAAATGGACCATTGTACTGTCTAGCGAAGTGAATGACACCGGCCGGTGCGCGCCGCTCTCCGCCGAGAAAATTGAATTCTCCGCGCGGCCGCGCAACGAGATTCGCGACGCGCAGATTGAAATAATGCGGGCAATAGATAAGACGGTTGTCCGGCGCGGCTCCATGGACGCCGACGTTGGGCATGCGTCACGTGGGAGAGACCGATTACTCGAAATTTCTGCCTCGCCTGGCTGGGAACCGGCTTGGTCCGTTTGTTCCGTTGTGCTTCGAATTGTGTTCGTGATTGATACGTTGCGCAATGTTTCCTTTCGGACTGCGCTGATTGGGAATGGTTTCGTCGCTAATGATTCGTCTGTAGGAAAGTATCTGCGATACGGTCGGTTTGTTTGGAAGAGAGAAATGGTAGCTCGTTTGGACTGGACTCTTGGTATGTGATTCTTTTCGCAGTTGACAATTGGAAATGGTTTATTAACCTTTTACCTACGGCGAGACTAACCGCGAAACTGTACCTCTGTATGGCAAGATTTGACGGTCATGATATGCATATCATAAATGCAACGTTACTGCGATTTGAGATTGGTAGAGCTTTCCACTGTGCAATTACGATAGGTTAGACTATTATGTGCATAACTATCGGTGATAGAGAAAGAATTGTGCCGGTACAGTGGCGTACCGTTCAAAAAGAGGATATACACAAACGCTACTATTGTGGTGTACAGTAGCTAAAACGTTAAGTGATTGTTAGTTGGAAAAGAAGTTGTAGTATTTGTTGGTTTATCTTTATTCAGGAAGTTAACTTATAGGAACTGTGTGACCTGTTAATAGTGAATCGATTGACCAACGCCAATTTCGTGACACAAGGAATTATCGGAGGTTCGCCGTAAATGTTAAGTCTTCATTAACGTAGAACACTATTATGCTTCAACATATATTAAATGAGATAATACCCACACTCACTAAATTCAATTTAAACTCTACATCACGTATATAATTTACATTTAGTAATTTATATAACTCACGTTTCATTCACCTACAAATTTACAAAATTTTAATTAAAAGTCTTTCAGAACAGCTTCAACAAACCTTAACCTACAGACATTGCTACCCCCAAGTATACGCTCATCCGATGTTACACACATACCCAATAACTACAGTGAAATGCGCACAGTCCAAGAAACAATAGCACTCGGGGACAAACACAAACATTTCGAACAAAGCTAGCAACGCGAATGAAACCATTGAATTTGCGCAGACAGCGAATGCTAGTCCAAACCCTTCTGCCCATAGACATTCAAAGTAACAACGTAACGCTCTTGTCTCCCTATTAATTCGAACAGGGAAGTCCCAGCGGCACTTATCGCCGTATTTCTCGAGGTAAAAAGAAGCAACAGGACTAAAGTTACGTTTCGAACGACGCGAATCTTCTTGAAAATCTGGTCGCCGCGCGTGCACGGCTTAAAGGAGGAACCGAGAGCCCGCGGTGAGGAGTCTAAGATAATCGCGTTTATACGGCGGCGGCGGCGTCGGTGCAGTCCGCATTCCGAGAATTCGATACTCCGCGGGGAAGAAGTTGTTCCCCGGGCTCTCGAGCCCATTCTCGCGATCGTTCAATTTGTACCCGCGAACCGCAACGATTACTTTTAGAACCGGACTGTTGTTTCGAACGCACGGCCACGGAGGAACGGGCCACGTAATCCCGTGATTCCTCGAAAGCGACTCGGCCGCGCGTCCAAGCTCAGCCATTACCGGTACGATACCGATCGCGGAGTAAATTAACCCTTGGCACACGAACCGGGGTTACTCGGGAACTCAATACATGCCCTTCTCGTAAATTAATTGCTACAGATTGTTCTCCGAAGTAAAATGGAGAAAAGGATGTTTTCCATTTTTATTGATATATTTTCATTCTTTCCTTTGCTTTGGTGAAGATGTAACTCTTAGCAATCGTACATTTAGAGAATTTTACTCTAATTTCATTACGATAGCTACTATTTTATTCAGATTTTTGTAGGATTATTTGCGATGTACGTGTATTTAGAATCTAGTGCTTGTTAAATGTTTATATGTGTATTAGTACAGTGATATGTTGAACTATATTTGAATACAGATTGTCCCCCGGAGTAAAACATATGAAAAGATATTTTTCATTTCTATTAATATATCTTCATTTTATCTTTTACTTTCATGAAGATGTAATTCTTTTCAAGCCGTATATGTAAACATTTGATTTTATTTCAATAGCAACTATTTTATTAATTTTTTGTAGAATTATTTGTAATATATGTGTATATATCTACAATCTAGTGCTTATGGTATCAAATACCCAATTACTATTATTTCGTCTTTGTATTTGATACCCAATATTAGAACCCAATATTAACAGTAACAAAATGTATTAGTTTCTATCATTGATCTATCTTGAATTCATCAGTTAAAAAATATTGAAAATATATGATTTCTTTCAATAATAATTTTTGTATTAAACACAGCTTTCTCTATTTCAATACATAAAGCGCGATTTCTACTTTTGAAGCAAATGCATTTGAAATGATAACTTCATTAAATTATACCGACGACCGTGCGCCTGGAATTATGATTATTTATAGTTATCGAAAATCGAAATTCGATTTCTAATTAAAAACATAAACCAGTCCGCCAACTAAGCTTGATCTACATTTATTAAACGGAACCATTAGAAACCTCAAGCTTCAGGATATTCTACTTATGAGTTAATCTCCAATTAGTTGTGTTAATTAATCTCGGTTTCCAATCCATATTTCTAGTTATCAAACAAGAACATCCAGAGATACCCGATATTTAAAGCTACACTTCCACTCGTTAAATCAAACCATAATAATTATAGGTAAATCGTAATTGTGACGATAATAAAATAAATACTTGCAGAATAAACAGTTTAAGATCTCATTAATTTGATTAAATACACCGGATTGCTATAACAAGAAGTAATTCCATACGTAATTCGACGTGTCTCAAACAAACATTCGTCTAAAATAATTAGTTGCATCAATTTTTGTTATTTAAGAATTTGATCGTCAAATGTTTTCGATAACAAAGGAAAATAAAGACAAAAACAAATTCAATGTACTAAAAACGTAAGTGAAACTGCGATTTTAGATGGTACAACTGAATCCAAGCGCCAAAAAGAAGCAACGTTGCCGATGTCATTAAAATGTAATCTCGCGTTAACGCGATAAAAAGTAACGCATCTACCAGCTTAAACCGACGCACAAAGTAACGCCCGTAATAAAGCAATCAGCCGATCTAGAGCAACGCAAAAAGCTGCACCGGCGAGTCTAGATACATGTGTACTTACTTACTAACGATCACGAGAATGTTACAAACCCCGATTAGGCTAAAAATAACAAAGATCGAGGAGATAATCTGTGGTCAATTTTTGAAACTCGATGAGGCCACGTTACTTTCTTACTTGATTATCCATTACCTTGCAATCTTCGTACGTTGATTTAGAAAAAAATATTATTTATTTTATTTTTAGTATGTTAATTTACTTTGTTTTGTAAAACGGTCAAGGCAACAACCTCTACACCACAGTTAATCCACAATAATAATCCTCATAACGATCTAGAATGTAGAATAATCTAAAATCTAAAACTCCATAAAACATGTGTCTTTTATATTCAGATATTGCAAGTGAGTATTTCATTCATCGAGAATTGACAGTAAATGTCTAATGAATGAAGAAATACAAAAATTAAATTTAAAATGTATTTTTAAATTATGAAAAGCAATATACGAAATAACACTACTTGGAAGCTATTAAGGTACTTTTGATGTTCACTTGAATATAATAACAACAAAGAATAATATAAAATTAATACTTTATGAAACAACTTACCACTGGTTGAGCTGTACTCGCCGATGTATCGCCTCGTCAAATACCGTACGACTACGGCTGAAAGAAAAATAATATATAATTAAAGCACAATCTTTCTAATCATTCTTCAATTTTAAATATATTTAATCAAACCGAAATATACAAACTGAACATTTTTATCGTAATTATATAAAGTTTCTTTTCGTCACTTCAACTTTCTTTTCATTTTCAGTACCAGAAATACCAACTTATTATACTTTAATACTTAAGATAATTTCATCCGGACCAGAATATTCCTGCAATAATAATATCTTCGTTGATATCAGATCGAAAGAACGAAAGCGGTGCTTGTTTGTTTCTTAATTTTAACGGGAACAGGTTCACGCGAGTGAAAAGCAATTAATCATCGATATAATTTCTCTGTTCACACGTAACCTCCTCCCCCCGTCCCCACGCGAGCTTTTCAATTCCACAGGCAGAGAAATCCGGTTTCTGATTTTCAGATAATGCCCGACGTGAACCCTCGAATCAAACTATTAGGTGGTTGCATAAACTATCTATTAATTGCTTATTATTTTAAAAAGGAATCTTATCGAAGCTGAAAAATTATTCTTGGAAATGGTATTTGATAATTACGACGACTATCACTAATTAGAAACGATTGTAGATTCAAATTTCATTTACAGAATTAAACTTTTATTTACTGTTCATTTATCGAAAAAGAACTCAATGATTATAAATATATCATTTTACATTTAAACACATCGTAGCTGTTAGATAGACGATAACTTTTCTATGACAACAAATCTGCAATGCAAAATATTATATGAATAACATTTCAAAGATGATAATTTAAAAATGTCAATAATTCGAAATTGTGAAAAAACATTTTTAATTGTCCGAAGAACAGATGAATTTCTTTATGAACACAGGGTTGTATTAGGGATATACGATCGTGAGATCAAGAAATATTGAAATTACTTTCATCAAAAGAGACTAGTGTAAGTCATTCATTGATTTGACGACCGAAATAAATCATATGTGGAATATCTTGTCCTCAGAAATAAATTGGTGACTAAGTTCCACGCGAATATGAATACAAACCATCGATTATTTATAGTGATTCTATACTCGTGTAACTAATGACATATCGCGGATAATTTACATGCTTTTCCTATTTCAGCTAGCTAATTGACGTCGATAACTCTGACAAGTGTTTCTCAGCTGGTGGAAAATAACCCGTTCTCATACACGTATTTGCGCATTCCTGTGTTTCGTTCATTTTATCAAAACTATCGATATTGAACGTATCATTAATACGATTTCTATTGCAATCAATTTCGATTTCAATAACAAGCCTGCGACTTTCCATTTGTCTCAACGGTTTAATATCATAATTATTTCAGCATTGTAATTTTGCGTTTCGTAATCTCTGCTTCATAGTAACTTTCCATTTCACAGACAGAATCTCTTCGCCATTTCTAATTTCAATGTTACCGTAACTACAATATTACTACTTTTCATTACGACCTTTTATTTCATATTGACAATTTCATTGTAACGAATTTCTTGATTATTTCAATTCACCTTTTTCACTTTATAATTACTTTTATATTGCAGTTTTATATTCCACAATTGGAATTTGCTGTATCATAGATAATATAATTATCGAATCGTTGCAACCAAATGTAAAAGCAGTTTCCGCGTGTAAAAAATTACACTATGATTGAAATCATTATCAGTTCCAAAACGAAAAAACAAGAATACTTCAATGTTTAAAAATACACCAAAATATAAATCTCTCTACCGAATTCCCTTCGACAAAAGAAAAAGTTAAAACTAAGTTTAGAATATATTAATTCATATCGAATTATAAGCTCTAATTCCCATGATCTAAATGAACAAGTAGAAATTCTTCTAAGACAGACGATCCAATGGCATAAACTGTACAATAAATGTCTGTAAATCCAGCATTGCAAATATGGGACCGATAAATTTGCACTGGTGGATGTGGATTAATTGAATTTTCGTCGAATCGTGGTTAAAATGGGCGTGCAGGTAACACGAATGCTGCACGAGGGAAGGGACCACGGAATAAGGCACCGTACGTCATTAGCCGCGATAAAAGTATTCTGTTGCCGGCACCACACCTCCTGTCGACAACTCGCCGACGACGCGGGGAACACGCTAGGCGTTTCGCAAAGCGCCTCTGCTTACTCCATTCCGTTTGAACCCTGCAATTTTGCGTGGAGCGAGATTCTTCGACGCCCTATCGATCCGTAATTACACGCTATAACGACCTAGCGCCTCGAAAAATTGCCTATCCATCGATCCCCGGCGCGGCGGGAGGCGAGGCTCGATAATTCGAGCTTTGTTTCGACGATACGGTTCAGAAGCTGCTCTTTCTCACCCAGTTTTTTCGGTCACTCCGCTTCGGAAAGGAGCAAATCAGTTTCGCGAAATGTTTGCTCGAAAATTACTGGATTTAGGAGACTTAGACCGATGTTTGTTCCTTCGTTTTAGAGTGATTTGGACGTCAACCGAGAATCGGTTTATTAGAAATAGGCGAAGAAATGTGAAGAAGAATTGTAGAATATATTAAAAGGCTCTTTCGAAGTTGTAACAAATTCTTTTGTAATATAGTGACTTTTAAGAACAGAGAGATGTATTTCTTTTGTGCACGATCATTTGTTTTATTAGATTACTTATAAGTTTGCTTGAACATTAACAGACTTTTCTGAATTGTAAATATTTAGATTTTGTTCTTTTTTTGTAATTGAGTATAAATTGGTGTGTACCATAAGTACTGTAAAAAGTATAAAAATTAATTAAATAGTAGTACCTGTTAAATTGAAACATTCTTCGTTTCTTTCAAACAATTCTAACCAAATCTAATTAAACAACGGCCAAAACCCTACAACAAACATCCGTAAACATAGAAAGATTTTCAATTAAATTCGTGTATTTGCACAGATATAATACTAGGATAACCTTCGAATCTTAAGAAACGTATTGTTCTAATTTCGATAAAAACTTGGTAATAAATCACTCTAATTGCTCGATAGTTTTAGCGTTAACAAAAACGTTCGTACAGCGAGGAAATCGAAAATGGAATGGAAATGATCTCAGCATAAATGCTTGCACGCTAAATGGTTATACGGGGAGGGGCGGAAAGAGCGAGGTAGAATATCGCATCAACAGCGTAATAACAATAATTAATGGCCACGATATACAGGAAATGTCGTCGGGAGGAATGCCCGTGCTCGTCCGCGGCGCTACGAACGGAACGGAATGGAACGGAACGGGCCGCGGCGCACTTGCGTTAGAGGACGGTCGCTTCATAAATTTCTTCGTTACTCCGCGAATCGTACGCGAGGACTTTAACATGTCGGGGACGTATAATATCCTCTCTCGTTCGACCCTTCAAGACTTATTGAGTACATAGAGCCGCGCCACGGACCGTTCTCGTATATACGCTGTTTATAAATCTGTCGTCGCAGCGGTTGCCGGCTACGGGCGAAACCTCGCGAGGAACCGTGGAGGGTTGCACGCAGAAGAACTCGATCCCTGAAGTGAAGCAACTGGTTCGCCGTTCGCTCACTTCGACGGCGAAGTGAACTGGTTACCGGAAATTGATGAGACTAGTCGGAGGAGGTCCAACGGGAAGAAATTTCGAGATTACACCTGCATTTCCGCGCGATAACGAGTGATTTCAAACGTTTTTCTGGTCTACAGTTTGCAGTTGGGAGGGGTTAAATGTATGGTGCTGCTACTTAGCAACGTATTTAGCGTCTAGTTTGTTGCTTTTGGAACTTCATTGCTTGGCATTGGTACTGGAAACTGCCATTATTTTATAGTCTTACAGGATTTCATTCGATAATTTAATCTTCTTGTATCGTAAAAATTCCATTTTTAAGGTGAAAATGTAGGCAGTTGTACTTTAAATTAAAAGTAAACGAACCGCGACCGGTCAAATGACCGGTTATAAAATTGGATTTCAACTTCTACGTTTTTCTTCGGTTATTTATCTTTATATCGATTTCTACATTATTCGATTAATCAGTTTTTCAAGTTTTGTTTTTTCTTCTGTTCCTGTTTCCCACTAAAACAATGTATCATCTAACTACCTTTATTTTATAACCAGATATTTCACTGATTGCGATAGAAATAGGTATATACAAAGTGTAGGTACGTTTAGTGTTAAATTACAAACAAAAGCAGAAATGTTGAGCTAATTTAGTCTAAAGTAACATCTTAGTCTACTTCAAAATACATTTAAGAGAAAAGAATTGAATTATATAATACACGCGAAGTGCTCTATTTCTATGCTACGAAAGCATACCACTCAAACCGTTTACTAAACAATCACCAAATACTCTACCAAGCAAGAACGAGAAACAGATTTCGCCGCTGTAAAATCGTTCCAACGCCACCCACGCGCCGGAATCTATTCCTTCAAACAAAGACAGAAATATTGAACTAACTTAGCTTAAAGTAACATCTTCATCATACGACTTCAAAATACATTCAAAAGAAAAGAATTACATTATATGACATATACAAAGCGCCCTATTTCCAACGAAACAAACCCGACATTTACAAAAGCATACCGCTCAAACCGTTTACCGAACGATCACCAACGATCTATCAATAAGCAAGTACCAACAACAGATTTCGCCGCTCTAAAATCATTCCAAACCCACCCACGCGCCGGAATCTATTCATCCGGATGTGCCCGAGGATCTCCCCGGACGCAGCGCTAAGTGGCTCGCGATCGCAATCGAGGACGCACTACTCGCCATCCTCCATCTTTTGTTTTCAAAAGATAGAAAGCTCTCGCCCGCTTCTCGGCATCGAATAAAACACCGATCGTGTGGCGCGTCGAAGTGGCACGGATTCATTCTTTCGCTCGCTCGGGAGCTCGGAGAGGAGCCTGACATTTGAAGCGTTCGCAATTTGTACGTTGTGTCGAACGAAAATACGTGTAAACTCTCTAACCGGCGTCGGACGAAAGTTCAGACCCGAGGGAAATTCGAGACACGTATCAAGATAGGTAGAAGTTCACCGTGGCGACGTGA